CGTACACAGCGCAAATAGGTCTGGCGCCGACCTTCACCCAAGCGTGGATTGGCGCGATCAGCTCCCTGCCTGGTTGGGAAGAGTTTACCCAAGTAAGATTTCCACGCAACGTCGAAATCGCGCTGGAGCCCGGGATGCGACCTCAGCAGCGGCACCATCATCTTCACCAGCCAACACACAAAGCCAGGACATGCCACCGCTGGTTCCTACAGCGCCTCCAGTACACTTGGCGGTGAACCAGGACAATGCTGAGTCTAGTCCCGCTCAGGAGAGCGCCAACTCCCGATTTGCTCCTACTCCTGGAGACGAACAGGAGATACTACCAGTGCAGGGCATGAGGCGAAAGGATCAGGGACAACTCTCCATGCCGTCGTGCTATGATGAGATCGTTCAGTGGCGGAAGCAGTTCTTTCGTATCCCGACGGGGTCCATTGGCAAGGCTTTTATCGATCTATTAGTTGCAGAGCTTCGACGGTTCACTGACTCTGCTGGCACTGACTGCATCGCTCTCTACCGGTTCTCCGTGGTTCCTTCCCTGATGTTGCAGTCAACCCGTTGCAATAGCAAACCAAAGGAGAATACTCTGCATTTGCAGCGGCGATTGGCATTGTGGCAAGCGGGGAATTTGACGTCATTAATGAGCGAAGGCCGCTGCCTGCAAGACTTGCTGTTTCGGCCTCGTAAGGGAGGCCGCAAGCGAGGTCTGGAAGATGAGGCTCGCCACTTCTCCGACCTCATGTGCCAGGGCCGTGTGCATGATGCACTTAGATGCCTGGATCCAGTCAGACGTGGTGAAGCGGGTAGTGTGCTGAACATCAACGATACCGTACCTCTCCGGGATGGTTCCTCTATTCCTGTCAAAGAGGCATTACTGGACAAGCATCCGGAGGCTCGGCTACCACCTTCTGAAGCCATGCTGCTGCCTGGGGATGCCCCCGGTGTTGAAGGCATACGTTTCGATGGCCTCACTGCAGAGTTTCTGAAATCCGTCGCGATTCACTCGGAGGGATCTGCAGGTCCGTCTGGGATGGACTCAGCATGTTGGCGGAGGATGTGCTCCTTTTTTAAGGGGGCATCAACCAGTCTGTGGCAGGCTATTGCTGACCTCTCTCGTCTTCTTGCTACCCGTGTTCTTCCCGCTGAAGGCCTGGTGCCGTTCTGTCTTGCCGACTGATTTCCCTTTACAAGCAGCCTGGCGTACGCCCTATTGGCGTGGGCGAGGTGCTTAGGCGGATAGTATCGAAGGCTATTCTGCGAATTGCTTCCACTGACGTGGAGGCAGCCTGCGGACATCTTCAGAAATGCGCTGGATCACCAGGTGGCATTGAAGCAGCAGTGCATGCCATGCAAGACATTTACAACGAATCGTCCACTGAGGGAGTGCTGTTGGTGAATGCCAGTAACGCATTCAACAGCATAAACCGACAGGCAGCTCTGCATAACGTTCAGCGCCTCTGTCTAGCACTATCCACCATTCTCCTGAACTTCTATCAGTCGGAGGCACGTCTGGTTGTTGCTGGTGGAGGAGAGATTTCGTCAAAGAAGGGAACTACCCAGGGAGACCCGCTGTCCATGGCATTTTATGCATTGGCCACACTCCCCATCATTCGGCATTTGCAGCAGCAACACAATGCCGTTAAGCAGATTTGGCATGCGGATGACTCCAGTGGTGCTGGCAGGCTGAGAGCGATTCGAGACTGGTGGACAACAATCCAGGAACACGGTTGCCTGTATGGATATTTCACCAATCCGGACAAAACCCTACTTCTCGTGAAGCTCGGATTTGAGGAGGAGGCTTCACATCTGTTTGAAGGCACCGGTGTCCGCATTGTCACCGGCAGCACTAAGTATCTGGGCTCATACATCGGGGAGCCTGATGATGTTGCCAGCAAAAGTGAGGAAGAGGGTTGATGATTGGTGCAAGGAGCGAACAGTTTGTTTGTTTGTTTGTATTTATTTTGATTCGCAAATTCAAACGGGCATAGAACCCACTAACATTAAAGCGAATATGAAAATTATGAAGAAAATGAGAATTAAAATGCTTTGTAGGTGTTCAGCGTAGAGTCAGCGGTACATCAGAGGGAGACCTGTAACAGTAATGAAGAAGTTCAAGGAATTTTGTGGATTGCGTCGCTGTGCAGGATCAATTGATGGGACCTTCATGCGCATTATAAAACCACTGAAGTATGGTGATACGTATTATTGCTAATAGAAGTATTCTTCTATTTTGATATTGGCGGTGGTTCATCAGAGCGGCCAATTTACGTACATTGATGCAGGACGAGCGGGCACGATGGGAGATGCCGCAACTTTCCACGCCAGTTGTTTGGAGCACAAAATCAATGCCAAGACATGGCTCACAATCCTTGAGCGTGGAGAGAATAGGAATGTCCTGAATGGTACGTACATACGCCCATACCTTGTCGGCGATGCTGCATTTCCATTAGCTCCGACAATGATGAAGTTTTTCTCTGAAAACCAGGCGCTGGAGCCCTACCAGCGCACCTTCAATTATCGGCGGATAAGAACAAGGAGAGTAGTGGAGCAAGCATTTGGGCGTCTGAAAGGCCGCTTCGCAATTTTGGACTCTTCAAACCTACGGGACCCAATATTTGCTGCTGATGTTCTTCTGGTATGCTGTGCACTGCACAACGTCTGTGAAACCTTTGCGTCAAGGGAAGGTGAGAGCTGGTGCTGTGACCCACAAGAATATGGACGAGGTGCAAATGACTGCAACCAGTTCTGTTGTACGCGGGAAATTGACAGGGTTTATGCATACCCGTCGGCCTATCTGAAGGAAATATTAGTTTCAATACAACTGTTTTGTCTTTTGCCAATCTGACTTGAGGAGTGCTGTATATACGATGTGTAGCGTGGCGTAACGTAGTGTCTAGCTACTGTAGCGTGCACTGCTGTGTGCTATAATCTTCTGCTACCATTGCTTTTGCTGCGTAAATTTAGCATGAGTGCACGTGACGTGTCGGTTTTCCGGAGTATAGTGCGCACTTTAGATGTGCTATTTTAGGCCCTAAATCGCAGGTGCGCACTATGCTCCGAATATGAAATGCATGTACTTCAATGACGATTGAAGTGCGCACCCCCAATGAAGATTGGGGGTGCGCGTTATACAAAGGTGCGCACTATACTCCGAAAAATACAGTACTCAATTCAATTGTTTTGCAGTCTCAATTTCTGCCTTGATCTGTTGCGCTACATGCAAATCTCGCCTACATACGCAGTCTGACCCAATACATGCATCATGTTTCTCCTGTATGCATCATCGTCTGCACTGTGCATCATCGTCTCTTTTTGCAGATTCGCATTGTGACTGTTCAGTTGTAATTTGTTCCCTTGCTGTATGGACTGTAGATGTTTGCAGGTCAAGTTACGTTTTGAAGACTTCCTCTGTCTCTTGCATACATCACAGAAACTCACACAAAATATTTGGAATTTTTTTAATTTCGGCCAGTCGGCTACTATCATTATTGTCGTCTTGGGGGTTAGACAAGGCGAAGTAGCCATGTAGGGGCGTTAGCCCGCCTTTCTGCACCGGGAGTTGCAGCTCGCTCGACTTGACTCTACTGAGTGCAGAGGACCCACACCTTGATTTGGTGAGCTGCGTCTTGGGGATTTTGCAGGCAGATGTGCGACTGCGGGGCTCGAACCCGCGACCTCTCGGGTCGCAGGCAAGTGCAGTACCCAATGTACTACCGGGGAGCCGTTCTTCGAAGTACATTATGATGAACACCGCGCACACACTCATACCGACAGTGTGTGTGTGTGTGAATTGCTTTGCGAGAAGCACGGTGGTGTTACAATATTGTCAACAGGGTTATTATTCCGCAAGCAAGCCTTTGCTAGTCGTGACTCACCTGACTTGTGCTAAAAAAATGGACATAGATTTACGCCCGTGATGTTTGCTGCAAAGGGCTAGAGGGCACGTTAGAAGCAGGTGCCAATAACAGCTTTTTTTCTTCTTTTTTTGCAGAGTGCACCTCCTACTGATAGACCATAACAAAGAGAGGAGAAGAAGAAGACGAAAGAAAATAATGATCGAGATAACAAGGAGAAAGACAGACCATGTACATTTGCGCTCACCGAAATCCGACCCGACGTGCAAAGCTGGCGCCATCAGCTTCCACGGTACTTAAAGCCCTGGAAGTGGAATGAATGCAGCTGGACGTACACATGTACGCATACTATGATGTAATCGGAACTGGTCCCCAACTGTACTAGTAGGGGTTCTTTGGGGCTCCGTAAGTACCACAAAGTGAATATGTATCCCCGCGTGCCAAAGCATAATATGAGGATTTTGCGAGCATAATGCGAGAATCCATGAAAGCATAATTCCATGATTTCGCGAGTGGAATGAATACAGCTGGACGTACACATGTACGCGTACAATACTGTAATCGGAACTGGTCCAGGGCGCCAGCTTTGCACTTTGGGTCGGATTTCAGTGAGCGCAACTGTACTAGTAGGGGTTCTTTGGGGCTCCGTAAGTACCACAAAGTGAATATGTATCCCCGCGTGCCAAAGCATAATAATTATGAGGATTTTGCGAGCATAATGCGAGAATCCATGAAAGCATAATTCCATGATTTCGCGAGCATAATCCGCCGGAGCCTACTTTCAGCACATTTCTGCTTTGCGCAGACTCGCACTAAACCACACCATGATTGTCATGGCTACGCACAAAGACAATTACAAGTGCTTTCCAACTCTCTTCCTCTCAGGGTGTGATAAAAGTGTCATGTGCAGCTCCAGCTCGGGCTAGTCGACTGTAATGGGATCTCGGGCTTGTACACAAATCCATACAAAACCTGTTGTGCATTTACATGCCAAGCGGGCTGGCCCGGCCAGGCCAGATCTCGCCCTGAGGTGTTCTATTCATGCCATTGACCGGATTAATAACTGCCTTTATTCTATGTTCACCCCTGTGCCTTCCATATTTTGAGCAGTAAACAGCAGCTAGGCTGCTGCTTGCATAGCATGCGGTC